ATTGGAGAGCTTTTTTCTTGGGAACGTTGTATGTAATATTATAAGGATTGTTGAAGCCCTTCAATTCATCTATATAAGGATTGTTGAACTTGTATTATGTATGAGAAAAAAAATAAGAGTTCACTATTTTCCCTATATAAGGGATGTGGGACTCACTCCTTTTTAAGAAAATTCAAGCCCAAATATGGAGCAGGGTGTCCAAGCCTTATTAGAAATGGGTTGGGTAAACGAGTACGTCATTGCACGTTCCCACATGGAATCGGTTCTAATACCATGCAAGGAACGGGAGAAAAAATGAGTGCGGTTTCACGCTAATGAAGCGCACTAAGACAGGGAAAGTTTAGATGAATCTCAAGTGAGGTTTAATCTGAAAATCAATTGATGGTAGGAGGAGTAACCCATTAAACTTATAATAAATTAAGACTATTTTCCCTCTATAAAGGACTGGGACAACTCACATTCTAATATTCACAATTGTCTTTTGGAAAGACTTTCTTTTTTTTTTTTAATTCTCAAACAAAAATATTATAATATTTATTATTATTTTTCTTAAATTTTTCGACTCATTGCTTTACTATAAACTTTTAACTTTTATAAGTTGAAGAAAAAGCAAGAGCTTGATTGTTTATGAAATATTTTGTTCAAATTGAGTTATTTTGGTTAAACATTGTTAATTTTGAAAAAGATGGTATGGTTAAAATTATATGTGAGTGAATGAATAGTAATGATTTGTATTATTTAATTAAATGAATAATATTAAAGATAGTGGGGTTGATGTAAAGTTGAGTTAGATTTTGAGTTGAAATAAAAATGAGTAAAATAATATATATACAAGCAAGCCCTAACATTGCACATTTCCTATGATTTTTTTATTCATTCCTCCATATATTATTCATACGTTCCTATATTTATATTTATAATATAATTTTAATATATTTCTAATAATTATTCTTTGCAAAACTTTACTGCACCACATTCACTGACCAAACAATCAAATCCTATTCCATCTATCTCCACTTAAGCACATCGGCGGTGGCCGACCACCACCGCTGCGTCTTCAATAAAGCGGGCACAACAGCCTGGGGCTGGGCACCGCCGTCAGCCTGGTGGCGCGTGGCGCTGTGAGCCCAAACACGTCCCCCATGTCCAGGTCCCTAGGCATCATTCTGTCCGGCAGCTCCCAATCGAAGCAGTGGAGCAGGTGCGCCAGCGCCATCTCCAGCGCGTACAACCCGAGCTGCATCCCGGGGCACGATCTCCGCCCTGATCCGAACGGTATGAACTCGAAATTGCTCCCCCTGAAGTCGGGCGCGCCGTCCACCAGGAACCGCGCCGGCTTGAACGACTCTGCGTCCTCCCACGCGCTCTCATCGCGTGCAATCGCCCACGCGTTGATCATCACGCGCGTGCCTGCCGGAATATGGTAGCCGGAGATTATGGCATCGGCGGCGGCCTCGTGGAGGAGGAGAGGGATCGGCGGGTGGAGGCGAAGGACCTCCTTGATGCAACACTGGAGATAGGTCAGCTTCTCGAAATCGGGCTCCTCGACCTTGCGGCTCAGGCCCACTACGTCTGCAAGCTCTTGCTGGACCTTTCGAAGGTCCTCTGGGCTTCTCATTAGCTCCGACATGGCCCATTCTATCGCCGATGCTACGGTCTCCGTCCCGCCAAACATCACATCCTGATTGATTGAATCAAACAAATTATATTTATTAGGTAAGTAAACTATATAGCATATAAACTATTTTCTAATTGAGCAACTTTTTGATAACCAGAGTTAATTTTGAAGATGATTCGATTGAATTTATTGACTAACTAGAGTTAATTTTGAAAAATGTGATTGAATTATGTTTGACTAAGATTTTTGTGATTATATTAAAATAATATTTAAAATATAATGATTAAAGTTGATTTGATGAAAAAATAGGAGATACGTAATTGAAAGTTGGTAAATTTTGAAAGTTGAATGTTGTTGTAGTGCAGCATGCTCAATTAATGATCTTTCAAGTTGAACGTATATACTATAGCTTAATAATAAATATTTTTGGTACTTGTCTACTGACTCTAGTGTAGCCATGCACGAAAGAGTACTACAAAATTCAATTGTTTGATGTTATCTACAAACTAGTGTAATAAAGGGACACTCCACAAAGTTTTGTTTCTTTTTTCATATATATTTTAAATCAAATAAAAACTTCGACCAATCAATAATAAAAGGTTTCTTTCTGTTTGATTGTTAAATCAGTATCCACCACCACCAAGTAATTTTCTATTTCCATTATTTCAGTAAAATATATATTTTTATATTGGCAGTCGCTGACCTTTCCTCCCATTTTACTCAGTTTGGGTCGGTTTATTCAACCACGAGTTGTATTTTTGCACGTTTGTATATTTTGTTTTATAATATCTCTGTCGTTTTGTAAAAAAAAAAAAAAAGAAACACCATAGTTTTGATTATATTGCCTTTTTAAATTATGACATAAGATTACATATCTATTGAATAAGTATGTATTCTAGCTAATAGTTGTAAAAATAATTTTTAAATTTATCTTAGGCAATCTTGAAAGCAAACGAATGGAAAAAAATTATAAAAATAAGAGAGAATACAAAGAGATTTGCTCTAAAAGTCGAGTTTGGGGGGACTGCCGTGGGTAACTAATAACAACCCGAACAGTTATATTTCAACCTTTGATCGTAAAGAATTTAAAAGACAATCAATGGTTAGAAATAAATAAGGAGTAAATTAATAAAATTTAACTTCCAATACTTAGCTAACTCCATCCACACATGACAAAGGGAAAAATAGGGCTACCATAATTTTTTATTTAGTCACATTTCACCTATTAGAATTTGGAATTATGAATGCAAAGATAATTTAATAAAATGTTGGGGAAAAAAAAAGGAAAATGTATACTTGCTGACTAGATATAAGTTAGATTGTAAACAACTTTTTTAGTTATGCTTCACTTCAAATTCCAAATAAAGATGGGCAAAAAAAAATTAATAAATAAGTTACATAAAAATTTGCTAAAGAAAATCACCTTAATTACTTTTTCAAAGATATGAATGTAATTGTTGACCATATCAAACATGACTAACAAATATAAGTAACTAGAAAATTATCATCCCAATTAAGACCATGACTCATGTAAGATGATAATAATATATTACATAGACCATAATAAGACTAAGAGAAAACATAAATAACTTAAACTTAGTGTATGGAGTAGCATAAATCGAACACATCACTGAAATATTCACCATTTCTTTTAAGAAAGTTATTAGCTAAAATAATAAGTCTCGCAAGAGGATGACCATTGACGAGCACAAAAAGAATGCATTACAATTCTAAGCTTAATAAGTTTTTTTTTAGCTTATTCCTTATTTATTTATAGCACTACAAAAATGATGAAATTTCAATGAGAATTCCAACGGAAATATTTTTCAATGGAGTTCCAACAACAATCTCAATGGATATTCTAATGTTATTATTTTAGTTAGAATTTTTCAATGGATTCCAACCGAATTTCAACAAAAATATTTCGTTGGAATGAGTTTCTCTTTGGAATTTCCGTTTGAATTCTAACAATTTCAACATTACTTTTTCCAAAGGTATAAATATGAGTGAAAATAGAAATTTCAACGGAAATTGTATATCCAACAACAGAAATTCTTACGGTAACAAACATTACCGTTGGAATAATGGCCATTGAAATGATAAAATTCCATTTAAATTCTAATGGAAAACTCATATTCTAACGGAATAATTCTGTTGGAATCATTCCAACGGAAGCTATACAATTAGATTATCCGTTTGAATTTCCATTGAAATATATTGTTGTTGTATTTTCTGTTGGAATATGACTTTTTTTTTTTTGGTAGTGTAGCCATTGGATTGTCTTTTAATTTCTTTATAATCAAAGGCTGGAAATTAATTGTGGGGAATACTGAAGAGCACTATGCCTTTCACGTCCCACCGTATTAGATCAAGTCAACATAACTTTCATCTTCTTGTCACATTTAATTATTATAGTTTAATTTGCAATACGAGAGTAACACATAT